CTGCTCTAGAGACGCGCCCCTTAGCAGCCAGTTACCAGTTAGCAGATCCTAGATCTTAGTGATCTATTCCAGCCAGATCCTTCAACTGGGAAAACACACAAATGTCGCATTTGGCGTAACTTGAAGACAAGTGCCAGGACACAAAAAGTCACACAAATGAAACTCTGGGAAAAGTGGAAAGGACACGACGATGCAGAGGCAAGGACGCGGTCACGGACGCGCGGCACCTTGCTGTGTGGGAAACAAGTTGCGGAAATTCCTGGCCAGACGCAGACACACATGTGTTTCGCACATGTTGATGGAGGAATTTCCCGCGAGTGCGCGCGATTTTAAGGCCAGCAAAGGAATCAAACGTCCTCCCACGCCCACACAAGGTCCACGGTCCACGGCCCACAGTACCTGTGATTGACCTTGACAGGGAGTTGGCAATAGAGCGGGAAAGAGAGAGAGACTGAGAGAGAGAGAGAGAGAGTACTCTGCTTTGGGCCCAGAATGGGAGTGTTGTGTGTGTTTTCTCTTTTCGATGCGTGTCTGCCACAATGAACATGTCCATCCATTGGACGTGTGAGGAAACGTGGGAAAAAAGGATTTACGATGAAGAGAGAACGGAATCTAAAGTCTGATGATGTGCCTGGTCATGGTATCTACGTATCTGTGTATCTGTATCTGTGTTTATATGTACGGGAAGTATCTGTAGCTGTTACCTGTTGCATGTTGCACATGTTAAAAAGTCATCATAAATCTCAGTCCGAGGATGCACTCTCTTTCGCTGTGTCTGTGTGCGGGAGAGATTCCCGTCGTAAGTCGTAGGAGGATGATGACTGTGCACTGCCACTGCCACTGCCACTGCCACGGAATCCTAGATGTGCATCCCACTGCTTCTGTGTGTGTGTTTGTATTATCTATCAAAATCTGTGTAAATTCCCCGATTAACATGCAAAACACGTAACCACGTAGCCAGCAGATCCTGCCCCGGCAGCCTTGCCTTCCGTACTCCTTTTGTGCAACATTCCGTGACCTTTCCCGCGAATGGACTTAGTCTGCCCCAGGGATCATGCCACAGCAGCAATGGTGCCTAATAATTTGTATAAATATTTATTTTTGCTACCGATTTTTATCTCTGCCCCTCCCTCAGCCACTGTCTCTGCCTCTGTCTCTGTAAAAAAAAGGTGTGAAATTTCAAACCCCTTGGTAGAAGGCAATGATCTGTTACCGGGAATCACAAGAGAGAGAAGGAATCAAGGATCGGATTCTATTTCGGGGACATGTTCTGCATTGCTAAAGATGATTTTTGATTTGCATTTCTAACCCTCCTTCTATGACCCCTCCAACTACTGGGGTTGTAAAACTGTTAAGCAAAAAGGCATATAGGTTACCAGTAAGCAATAACAGAGAAACGCTAAGAATTGGAACCCTCAAAACATGATTTTGACTGGGATATATTCGGTACTTAACTATTTACTATAGAACCAGCTAAGTTTGAATGGTTCTTCCACATTGTAACTATAATCTGAATGGTTTTAATGGGCATTCATTATTTTTAACACAAAATTCGCTCAAGCTTAATGGGTATTCATCTTCATCCCCTAAGAACTTGGCCAACTAATGGATATTCGTCTCTGATTTATCATGGTTTCCATAGGTTTTTATCGTATTCCATCAACAACTACCAAATTTATGATCGCTGTAGCTCATCCCGACCCTAAAAGAACTTAAAATAGTAGATATTCTTCACATGCACACCCTCAAAGCCATTTTTATAAATATATCATCAATAAATCATCATTCACTCCACTCGTTTCTCCCAATGGCCTTGAGGTGGTTCCCTTGTACTTTCGCAAGCGATCGTCAAGTGCTGGAGGTCTCATTGTCTGAATATTTCATCACAAAGACAAAGAGAAAGATCGTTCCGTAGAGCCGCGTTTCTTAGTCAATCAGTAAAGTAGTCTGACTGACATTGGTAATACGTAAATGAGTCAATAATTGATTGCAAATTGATTGACTAATCCGTTGCTACTCTCTAAAGGAAATTTGATGGAACGGCTGGCTGCAGGCCTCGAACCTTTCCCATTGATAGAACGTGCTCGAGCTGCAGTGCCACAGCTTCAACATGTTCGTCGCAGCCGAATGCAAGAGTCTGCCGCAGAGAGAGCGCGCACTTTTATACGGCCAAACAAAAACACAACATGTTCGAGTTCGAGGGTTCGGCACTATATAAGGCCGGTGCCATGGGCCGAGACCGTCATTCCGCCGCAAAAATCCAAAACCAAAAATATTAAAATAAAAAGAAAACGTGTGGGAAAAACGTAGCAAAGCGAAGGCTGCGTTGGCGTGAGATTTCGAGAGACCGACCACAGTAACAGCAACAAGAAATATTCAAATTGTCGACCGTTTGGATTCGTTTTCGTGCGTTTCGTGTGTGTTTGTGTGTGGGTGTTCGTTCAAGTCACCAAAATATTTGATATTCGCTTTATGCTCCAAAAATGAATTTTATGAGCATTAAAACAAAGTTTAAAATATACAAAAATCAAGTGAAAGACAACAATCAGCAAACAACAAGCAACAAAAGTGCAAGGAATTAAACTGGCAAAATAAAAAATAAATAAGAACGAAGAAAACATTTGGATTAAAAACGCATTTTGGATAAACGCAAAAAATAAAAGCAGTTGCAGCAGCAGAAAAAAAGCATAAGGTAAGCAAAAGGCCACGACCTTAATGACTGCAGCACAACAACAACAACAAAAAGTCCCCAATAGAAACTGTCGCAAAAAGGGGTAAAAAAGAAAAGAAAAGTCATAGAGGGGGGGACATGCAGTGTAATGAGTTTATTCAACCCGGTTGCAACTACAATTACAACGTGTGTTTTTTTAGGGGTGCAAGTGGAATGCAAAATGCAAATTACACTCGCGGGTCGCAAGGCAAAAACTATGTGAAATTCTTCTGACAGACAGACAGACAGACACATTCCACATTGAGGAGTTGGAATTAATTTTGAATACTTAAAAGTATCTTTCGAAATCCATGGACAGGCAGAGGGAAAGATATCTTCTTCATTTTGGGCTGCACTCATGCATGCGGTTCATGTTCATTCATGCTCTCCTGGGCATTCAGTGCAGCCAGTGGCAAGCAGCATGCCACATAGCAGAGGCAGCGGTGTTGGTGTCTTGCTCAAAATTGGTAAAAATGCCATAATTAAAATTAATAAATAAATTAATTAACAAACAAGATTGGTAGAGTGGCAAGTGGCCCAGACTGCTGCGATTTCGTGTTATATTGAAATTGCTAGGCAACCAAACAAACGAACAACAACGAACCAAATCAAGCCCCAACCCCAACACAAAAAGAACGAAACGAACCTCTGACTTTGCTTGTGGAGAGCGGGGAGCGGCATGGGGTTTCGGTCAGTTGCTGGTGCTCCCACACAACATACACCATACCTACCACATGCCATACTCCTCACTCCTTTTTCTTGTGCAGGTGTGGGTCGAACTCAGACATAATTACAATAATACCAGACAACAACAGTAAAAGCAACAACAGCAACAGCAGAAATGAATGGCCATACCAATGCGTATGAGAGCAGGCGTCACAGCAGACAGACTTCAGACGCAACTTCAGCGAGAGGGAGAGAGAGAGAGACTTGGACTTGGAGACAGCCACAGTAGAGAGAGAAAGAGATATAGAGTAGCAGTTGTAGTTGGGATTATACCCTCTAATTAAAAGACTGACAATTATGAAAAGGAATATGCAGTCCCAGAGTTCAAGGAACTTTCGGAAAAAGGGAAGGTAGAACAAGTCAGCAAGTTAAGAAATTATTGTTTAAGCTGAAGATAAGTTAACTGAATTTATAGCACAAGAAACAACTATTTTCCTCCAGGGTAACTCAAGTCTTAAAGCACACCGCAAAAGCAAGTTTTTAGTCTCATATTTTCCTTTGGTCTTTTTTTTTGGCGTAGGCGCCGCGGCGCTGCGTTTGCAGAGGAAGTGCCAGAGACAGAGGCAGAGACGCGTTGGCGCGCTGCTGGCAGTTGAATTTTCGAATTGTGCAAGGCAAAGGCAAAAGCCCAAAGAAAATTTTATGATTTTTGATTCGCTTTCGATTCGAATTTGAAATGTACAACACAACAATTGTTGCTCACAAAAAGAATTAAAGAAGCTTTTTTTCGATCATTAGCGACACTGAATGTCGAATGCCGAATGTCGGCTGTTGAGGCTGTGGGGAGCTCTCTGTGGCTCTGTGTGTAATTGAATCGAATGCGATTAACATAATTTTGTTTGAAAAATGTTGTCTTTTCGTTTCGTTGTCATTGCAAATTACTCCGTACAATAATGCGCCTAATGCCCCGACCATTAGCTGATTAGTTGGCCATTAGGCAACGGATGGCGATGAAGAGGAGATTTCAGCGGAGGCAACGCAGCACAAAATGCAGTTAACAAACAACAACAAAAACGTTACATAAATAGCGAAACGAAGGCCATGCCACACTCCAACTGAGAGAACCAACAATCAGGCTGGGGCAAAACTTTGACTATGCTTCATGGCTAATTTTAGAGAGACAGAGAGAGGGAGAGAGACAAGCCCCCTAAAAGAAAAACTCAGAGACAAGAAAAGAAAAACTTTTTTTTTCCAAAAGGCCCATCAAATTTTATGAGCAAGAAAAACAGAGTGAGAGTGAGAGAGGGAGAGGGAAGGAGAAGGAGATGTTACTGGTGACCCAGTTTTTGCCAGGGAAAACAACCAGGAAGTGGATAAAGCCTCAAAACCATAAACAGAAAATCTCCTCAAAAATTCCCACAAGAATTTCCCTCCCTTCCCACACCCCCCAGAAAGAAGTGTTGTAATTTCTCTTGTTTTTTGTTCGTGCAACGAGCTGCAACCAGTGAGGCAGGGCGGCAGACTTCATTTTATGAATAATTTATGCACTTAATTGATTTGTTTATTGTTTCTGTCTGTGTTCCAAGTTAATTAATTATCAACTTTAAATGCGTTTCCATTACAGAAAAACAGAGTGAAAATTCTTGGATTAAAACAGAAAAATGGAAAGCACAACAGAAGCCAAAATGCAAGTGGCAGATGCCACTGCCACAAAGATGGAGAAGGTGGACACTATCATTGACATTCCCGCTGCCGTCGTCACTGCCTGCCACTCTTCATCCTCGTCCTCGTCGGCGTCCTCCTCCTATGACACTGACTGCAGCACGGCCAGCAGTACCTGCTGCACGCGACAGGGCGAACATATCTACATGCAGAGAGAGGCACTAACCATGCCCATGTCCTGCCCTGCTGCTGCCACAACTTTGGATGCATCTGGGGATGATATGGGACTGCTGAAGTACGAGCATCGCAAGCACTGGCCCTGGTTTATCCTCGTAATCTCCATCATTGAGGTGAGCATTTTCCCCCTAACAAATATATTCGATTTCCCCTATGGGTATTTGATATTTATGGTTATTACGAATCAATGCCCTCCCTTAGAATAAAAACTTTATAAATACTCAAACTTTCAACGAAAAGCAATAGAAAATGATTCAAAAAGTGATACAAAATGAGAGCGGAAGTTTTCCTTAGTTCTTCCCCCCCCGTCTCCTCACTGTCTGTGTGCATGTCTGTGTCTTTGCGTCTGACTTTGTGGCGCCTCCCCCGAAAATCGATTGTAAACAACTCGAATAACACACAACAACAACAGCAACAGCAAAGGAGAGACAGAACAGGAGAGAGAGAGAGAGCGAGAGAGAGCCAAAACAGCCGAAAGCTTTTCTTTTGAAGGGAAATTGTGGAAATGATTTGGCTAGAAACTTAAGTTAAGAAGAAGGGGCACACCCAGAAAGAGAGAGAGACAGAGCAAGTCCTGCCCCACAGGGCGTATGAAATGTTGTTGTTTGAACAAATGCCAAAACGAAGGGGGAATCAACCCGTCCCAGTTGGCATTTGGTTTTTCTTTTTTTTTGGGGACATCGCGTGCCAGACAGCGCCAAGAACATAAATCAGAGACAGGGAAATGGGGAAACCCCTTTGTGCAACCCTGTACTAAAATTCCTATTTTATATCCTTTGCCTTACAGATTGCAATCTTTGCCTATGATCGCTATACCATGCCTGCCCAGAACTTTGGTCTGCCCGTGCCAATTCCCAGCGATTCGGTGCTTGTGTATCGACCCGATCGTCGCCTCCAGGTGTGGCGCTTCTTCAGCTACATGTTCCTGCACGCGAACTGGTTCCATTTGGGCTTCAACATCATCATTCAGCTGTTCTTTGGCATTCCCCTGGAGGTGATGCACGGCACGGCGCGCATTGGTGTCATCTATTTGGCCGGCGTCTTTGCGGGCTCCCTTGGGACGAGTGTCGTCGATTCGGAGGTGTTTCTGGTGGGCGCCAGTGGTGGCGTCTACGCGTTGTTGGCCGCCCATTTGGCCAACATCACCCTGAACTATGCGCACATGAAGTCTGCGTCCACACAACTCGGTTCGGTGGTTATTTTTGGTAAGTAAAACAGATACAACCCCCATCCCTAGAGGCATCTTTACTAACCAAAATCCTTTACCTTTTCTTTACTCTTTTCTCTGTTTAGTTTCCTGCGATTTGGGTTATGCTCTCTACACTCAATACTTTGATGGCGGCGATGCCACAAGCTCGGCATCCTCGGCCTTCGCCAAGGGACCACAGGTCTCGTACATTGCACATCTGACGGGCGCTCTGGCTGGCCTCACCATTGGCTTTCTGGTGCTCAAGAATTTCGGGCATCGGGAGTACGAGCAGCTCATCTGGTGGCTGGCCCTCGGTGTCTACTGTGCCTTCACCGTCTTTGCGATTGTATTTAATCTGATCAACACCGTCACGGCACAACTGATGGAGGAGCAGGGAGAGGTCATTACACAGCACCTGCTCCATGACTTGGGTGTTTCCTAAGCAGCAAAGGGACTAGAGTGTGGCTGGGTTGGATCATCCTCAACATCAGTGGATCCTTAGCAGAGAGACCTATAGACACACCCGGTAGATACGAAGACAGAGCAGAGAGGAGACGGTTCCAGAGAGACTAAAGTTCACTCAACGATTTTTAGTTCAAAACTAAATTCGAAATTCGTTTGAATTTTCAACCATTTTTTCTTGGCGATTTGCAATCGACTCGTTTTCGATTTGCAATTATCGTTAATTGTCATCGATTTACACTTATCGTTAATCGTTATCGTTTTCTAGTTACCGTTAACGGTCAACCCATTGGCTTGTTTCATTTTCCGCGTTTCATTTTCATATATTAAACAAAAAACAAAAAAAAAACTGCGAAAATAAAACAGAAAAATTAATAACAAAAGAAGAAGAAAGAAAAAAAAGCGAAAGCCGAAAAACGTGTAAACAAAATGTTGTGATAGAACCAAAGACTGAATTTATTTCGCGTGTAAAAATACAAAAACTAAAACAAAACGAAGAAAATGGAAGAAAGAGAGAGAAAAAACCAACCCGGAAAACAAGAGGAAAATCCCAGGCAGCGCCTCTCGCTCTATAAAGCAATTATCAAAATTGAATGGAAATGTTTTTTGCTCTTGATTTTGTTTTGTTTCTTCGCTTAAATGGTTGTTCTAAATTATGTATTTATTGGCACCCCCCAATGCTATATAATTCTACTATAATTTAGGATTTTTCAATTAATGACAGCAGCAAGAAAAAATCGCGAGTGCGCTGTAGAGATTTAGAAATGTATAGAAATCACCTAACAAATTGTAAATAGTATTAAGTCCGCACACTAGTCAAAACAGAAGATAGGAGATAGAAGATAAATGATAGATAGATAGATACCACATATAGAAGAGGTACAACAGTAGGGGGTAATGAGAATTCACTCGAATGAAAAGCAAAAAATATTTATCATAAGTAATCCCCCCCAGAAACAGCAAAAAGAGAGAGAGATACACACATACATACAATACACAACAAAAGTATTACTAATTTATATATTTATTTAAATGTTTATTATTTTTGTCAAATTATTTATTTATTTATTTAATAATTTAGTGGAAAAAAGCACGAAAAAACACAACCAACAAATGTAATACATATGAGAAAAAATTCAAAAAGGAAAAATATACACAAAAAATACACAACACGACACGATGAAAAGCCAAAGAAAATACAAGAATTATCAACAACAACAAAAAATACACAAACAATTTGTTTTCTTTTATTGTCTACTATTATTTGTTCAGTTTATCCCTTTTTCAGTTGAACTTCCTGCCCCCAAACTCAATTTAAAAGGCAGTTAATAATTGCAAGAAATACACACACACTTTATATAGTATCGAAAACAATCAAAAGGATACTCGAGCTCCTCTCGTGTACTATTCAAACGTAATCAAATAGATAATCTGGCATGAAAAAGCCAGCAAAGCGTAAGCCAAATAGAAGGGAAACGGTCTGGTCTCCCCATAGCATATTCAACATTCAATATAATGAAAAACCACAAATAAATAAAACTGCCCGTTGCCCCTAATACCCCATAAGGATACCCCCCATCAAGGATCTGCACACAAAAATCAAATAGCAAATATGCAAAACCCCGAGAAAAAAATACAAAAATAAACTAAAAATCATACATAAATAAACAACGGGAGTTAAATCGAACAAAAACAGAAATAAATGTCTAAATTATGAATGGAATTCTTCCTTGGTCTCGGTCTCATTTTTCTCTCAATCACAAAAACACATCCCCCGGGCGGGACGACACCCAAAAAGGGAAATGGATGGGAGTTCCCTTCTGCAATCGATATTTGTTCTATATAAAAGGGAGAGGGGAACTTCTCTAGAGAACTTCCCTGTCATTCAGAGTGAATAATTGCAACTAAAGCGCCAAGAAAATCCGTAATTAAGAGCCCACTCTGCACAGTTTTCTTCTGAATGGAATGGAATGTCTGGAATACCCGTTGAGTTTATAGTATGAGGGTATATTATATGCAGGAATTAGTTTGTCATGGTTTTAACCTCAGTTCTATGTTTTCTATAAATATTTGGTTTACTTTAGTTTTTCCCTCATATTCCTTCTGCGAAGTAACTTTTAGTCGCAAAATCCTTTATTAAATGCTTTCCAATCATAGAAGGGTGGCGGTGGCTCTGGTGTAAGCTCTGCTCCCCCTAAATCAATACTTGCCCTATATTACTAATAGCAGTTCGAAGAACAGAGCGGGAAGGAGGCACACGCAACGAAGGGCAGAGAAGCAACAGCACTCTATGTATTTACATACATTTCCCCTCCATCAGACGTTAGTTTCCCCCCAGCAGACGTTAGTTTCCCCCTATGAAGTATCGAAAGAGTTCCAAGTGCCATCATAATTCATCTTCCCCATAGATTATACACAGGATTATGCCGCTTTCCCCCTCTCTAATCAACATTCCTCTTGAGGGAATCTGCGCCTCAATTCATTCGCAATTTGAATTAAATATGAAGGCAATCCGGAATACACAGCATTAATTAATAATTGTGAATAGTCAGAGAAGCGTATAACAAGAGTTGTCCTGAGTCTCCTGAGTTGCCGTTGCTCCGCTTGATTGCATCTGCCAATTAATTTCACATTAAATTATACAATTATCAGAGGCGTAGCACCCGTATTCCCCACTCTACAGAATGAAGTCAAGTGGCAGTGCCATTTTAGGGGGCGGAGTGCACTCCAATCTATGCAGCCAAGAATCGCTTCAGAGAGAAAGAGAGATTTATGGTAGACAGAAGCTGCCGCCTGCCGCCTCACTCGGCCATCAAATTGAAATTCAGAGGCACAATGTCAACCGATGCGCCACAACGAGATGTGGAGAGACGAGGTCACTCCGCCCCACTCCTCTCCTATCCTCTGCGAAATCTCCGAAAAATCCACATAAATAACGCGGGCATCGGGACAGCCTCCAATGTGACTCGCCTCTTGCCTCTTGCCTCTTGCCGCCTCCAGTATGTTGCTGCTGCTGATGCTGCTTCAGCTTCTCGTTCGTTGAGCTTGTTTCTGCGAATGGCAGGTGCAACTCAATCAACGCCGCCAACAGTCCACAGTCCACTGCTGTTGCTGCTTCTCCTGCTGCTGCTGCTTGTTGTGCCACAAACGTTGCATGTCATCTGGACACAAGCTGCAGTTGCAGCTCAGAAAGCTGAAGCTCTGTGGACTTGTGGCTGTGGCATCTCTGCTGCTTGCCTGCCACCTGCCCCAAAAGTTGTCTTTGAAACGTTTTTGTTTATATTTGGTGGAAGAAGGTGAAGTGGCAGTGGCAGTGGCAGTGGCAGTGGCAGTGGCAGACAGTGCTCTCTCGCTCTCTCTCTGTTGTGCTCAACTGAGGAAGCTGTAAGCATGTTTCGAGTGGGGATATCACAAGAGATCAATGATCCAAAAGGCAGAGAGAGAGAGATACAGAGAGAGACCTGGGGTTCAATGGTCCTTCAAGTACGGCTTTATATTTTGCAATCAACAAAGTATTCTTGAAGTATTCCATTTGAGACTACAGAGACCACACCTAAAGGAGAATCCACGCTAAAACACTTATCGACAGGAGTAATTCTTTTCCTACTCTGATCTAAATGGACTCTTCTTGACCCTGAAAGGCAATTATCCCTTTCTACTGGTCTCTCTCCACATGACTTTTCGGCAGTTCCCTCGCCTGTTGTCGCTCAATTAGAAGGATAAGGTAACTCTACCTGTGATTTAAGACCCTCTGAAAGGAGAGGGCTACCCAAGTAGCTGAGTGTAGCACACCAGGGACACCGCTCCTTAAAGGAAAACGCTTTTGGCTCAATTCACAAAACATTAATTAACACATGGAGTATCCGAGTTTCAATCATCCTCACAGCACTCCATTGAAAAGGGCAGCATAATATTCTTAATTCCCAACGTCAGACGAAAGGCATCCGACCCATTCCCATAGTGCTTGAACAAACGTTTCTCTCGTATAAAGCCAAGACTCTCGTATAGGGCCAGCGCCACCTTATTCGTGTACTCCGCCTCGAGCACCACCAAATCCACATCTTTGGCCACCATCGCCTCGATGGCTTTTATCACCAGCGTACGGCCAATGTGCTGCTTGCGATATTCCCTATCCACGGCCAGCATGGCTATATAGCCCTCGAATAAGCCCACACGGTTTGGCTCCAGCTCGCACACAACCACGCCCACATAGCGACCCTCGTGACGCGCAAAGAAACAAAGGTCGGGCCATTGGTAGACAAAGTAGCGATAGGTGTACAGGGTGTACGCCTCCGAGAGGGTGCTGTCGATGAGGCCCTGCAGGGCCTTAAGCTCGGTTTCGTCTGCAAATCGCGTGTAAGTTATCACAGGCAGCGAGGGGGGATCCTTTGGGGCAGGAGAAGTAGAGATCAGACTTGATTTGAAGGTCTTCCTGCTGTTCAGGACTCACCTCCTTTCCCTCTGCCGCAATTTGATCATTTATCATTTTGGTTTTGTCTAAATAAATACTTAGAATACTTTTCAAAAATGTAAAACAAAAATTCATTTTAGATTTGAGTGAATTTCTGAAATTAAAATCCCAGACAGATGTGATCACTATTCCCACGACCTTGAGAGGCGCCTCAACAATCCCAACGTCCCGTTTTCACTCCCAACGTGACACAAATCCCCCTGCCTACTGCCGCTGCCACAACAAAATCCCAGCAGGTGACAGACAGCACAGCACAGCACAGCACAGAACAGCACACACTCGTCATCATTGGCTTCTCCTTTAATAGCATTACTCCTGCCACTGAGGCAGTCGTCAGGGCAATTAAGAGGCACGCCCCGTGGCAAGGACGGGGGACTGACTGACTGCTTTCCGCACTCCTTTTCCTTGAGGGATTTTCGAGCATGTGAAAATTATGAAAATGTCTGGCAGAGCCACAGCAGTCACACGACGACTTTGACACGAAAAATGGCTTGCTAAATCCTTTGTTGTCTGTTGAAACGAGGAAACTGCCAGCAAGCACGCACAAATGTCTGCCCTGCCCGCCCACAACACACCGCTGCCCCACAGCATTAGCTCCTTTTGGGGTATAAGAGGGCTAATTTCGCGTGTATTAGTCGTGCCGTCCAGGAAGACTTGTATGAAGCGACGCAGTGACCTCATATGACCACCATTTAATGGCTGAGCCGAATGCAATAGAAGCAATTAACCTAAAAGGCCCATAAAGGACACGTAGGACACACAGGGGACAGGCAGCTTAAAGGTAATCCAATATGAGGTTTTGGTTGGAATCTGATTACCCATCCCCCCTACCAAATGTCACACACAAAGTCCCCGCTTAATACACTTACCCCGCGGCTCATTCTAGGCTCTCTCCACTTCCTTTCTCGCTGTTTGGTTTTTTTGGTCCTGTTTGACTTTTGTCCTGGTTTCAGCATTAATTTGTTTGTCCGGAGTACACTCCTGCGTCTCCGTCTCCGTCGCCGTCGCCGTCTCCTTTTCTTTCATTCTTTCTTTATAATTAGTGCGGCGGCGGTTCCATTTTTCTAAGCATTTTTCGCAGCCACAGAAATGAATTGTAGCGCCGGGACATAAGGAGCACTTGGAGCCAGTAGCGCTGCCTAGGAGACAGACCCAGAGTGGGGTCGGGCTGGTCCGGACCGCCAAGTGTTTAATGAAGCGGTTTAAGCGCACGACACAAAGAGCCGCCAAGAGCCGGTAACTCTTGGCCAACAAATTTCCATATTTGCCTTGTCGAGTGAGATAAATGGATGGCCACAAGTCCTGCGACGACAACTCCTGGGGCGCCACTCCACACTCCTTTTTTTCTCTTTCTCCCTCTTTTTTGTTGGCCTCCACCTGAAGTGGACTTTCGTGCAGTTTATTAAAAAAGAATTAACTGCAAAGGCCACAAGGGAGACGGTGCCGGCGAGGACGGGGACGAGGACTTGCACTTGTTACTGTTCCTCTTTCTCTCGTTTTTGGGGTCTCTTTTCTGTTGGCTGTCACGCCAATATTTCAGTTGGTTTTATGACAGGTACAAGTGCGCCTTTTTGATAAGCATTCGTTCCTGTGGCAGTGAGTCCACGTCCGAATCCGAATCCGAATGCGAATGCGAATCCCCATGTCCATGTTGCAGATAGAGCGACGACAACTGTGAGATGTGGATGTGGCCTCTTCGCCTCAGCCTTCTCAAGACAAAAGGACCGGGCACGGGGCAGGTTGATTTCTGCTTCGCGTGGGACGCAGTGTCTCTGTGAGTCTCTTTGCTACATGGTCGCGTGCTTCAATCCTCATTGTTTCTGTGGAATGCCTCACGGATGGACTCGTGGGTCTCTGTGTGCCTGAATATGTCAATGTAATGATCTCCTTGTCTCGTTCGCTCATTCGCATCTGTTTGAATTACATAAATATTAACTTGTACTTTTTATAAACATGTTTGTTTGCTCACCGCATCGCATCGCATCGCATCGAATGGGGCAGCTCCAGTGGCAGCAGCAAGAGCATCGCAACAGTGTACAGCCAGGAGTGGAGTCAGAAGCGGACACAGGAATTTCCAGCAATGTTGAATTCCAAGCTGCACTCGAAGCTTCGATTGGAGGACGACGGCTATTGATATGATTTATGTACTCCAGAGCTGGTATTCGTTCAACCTGGAGAAGAAGTTTAGTTAAGTGGAGTCGTTGCAGTTAATCTATGTATTAGCAATGTGAAGAAATTACTGCGAATCTTAGTGGGACTTAAGGATTTTCTATTTACTTTATTAACTCTTTCCTTTTTTCTGTATTTTCAACGATATTTTTAGATACTTCTTCAACCTAACCTCGAAATCGAATACACTCCAGCCACTCTCTTCTCACTTCATCTCTTTCCGATCTGACTCTCTTCATCCTAAGCTTTTCTTGGTTGTCAACCCACCCACTCTCTTCACACTAACCGCCATCTAGTGGTTTGGAGAGTTGAGATGCCGTTTTTGCAATACATTCCACCCACTCTCTTAGCCCTACCCCTCATTTCAAATGCATTCCACCCTCTCTCTTTTTCATGCTCCAGCCAGACCTGGAATATATTCCACCCAGTGCGCTCATCCTAACTTCCAACAAGTGGACAATCCTAGCTTACAACCTTTCTTCTACCCTTACCTTTTATTCTGGCGTTGGCAGCATCAAATTATCACATTTCCAACATTAATCAGCGTCAATGTGGGGGAAACAGCATCTTTTGTCCAAAAGGAAATCGGCGCGTGGACACAGTTGTTGCTTATTCCATCTTTTGCATTTGTTTTCTCATCACTTTTCGATGCTCCTCCTTCTCCGCTTCCTTTCTTTTGCCCTTGCTTATTTCCGTTAGGTGGTGTGACAACGCTGACGAATGACTTAACGGTGAAATGTGCTGGTATCATATCCACAAATAAAACATAAATTCCGTGTCCCTCCGCTGGGATTGGGATTTGTTAACTGCACTGCCGGAGAGGATGAATGCGAAGGCGAGGGGTGAGGGAATCACCCGGGACGTAAATGTAGATGTCACAAACACGCAACATAGCAAAACGAAACCACGCAAAAAAGCCAAAGTTGTGCGGTGGTGTGGATGTGGTGCTCCTGTTGGCGACACTGTCGTGGCACAGGTGCGCGTGTCAAGCGAAATTATAGTTTTTTCACTGCTCCCCTTCAGGATATGCCATAACTCGTGAAATAATAAGGATGGATTGCCATTCTTTATCTTTAAATACGCGAGAATCCGAAAACCGCGCACTACGACATTTTTACAAGAACACAAACTCTCCCCAAATGGCTGCTGATCGTGGAGACTTGTAGGCGGGAGAGCGTGGGCGCTCTAGGCAATGCTGCGGCAGTGAGAATGCTGCTGAGTGGGCAAAGATGCAAGCATCAGGAGTAATTGTAGTTTTCCCACTACTCCCGGACGGGATATGCTATAGCCCAGGCGATTATAAAAGTATATTGCCTTTATTTGTCGTTAAAACCGCAAAAAAACGAAAATTTACACGACCCGACGCACACTACGACTTCTGAAAAAACGCGAACTCTCCAAAGATGGCCGCTGATCCAGAAACTCAGCTGTGAGCCCGCCCAATTCAAATTCAAATTTAAACTATTGCTTGAAAATAAGTATCGATTTTATTCAATTTATTTACAAGTACAACAAACATTGTAAATACAAACGGTGTATATTTATGCAAAAATCGATTGGTTTGGCGTCCTCTAATTGACCCACAAAAGCTGGCAGTGGTTGCGGCTACATCAAATTGAAATCAATTTAAATATTACTTTTGTAAGCTTCATTTTGATGCTGAGGTAGGAATTATCATCATCTCAATGTGTGTGTTAAGGCCTGTTCGAATTTCCTACAAATATTGCATTGCCAATATCGGTTCGCACATAAAGCAATACAACTTGTATGTATATTTTTTTTTGTTCAGCTTAAATTGATTCCTTGATGGCATTTATTCCTAGAAAGTCTTGCATTTAAACTAGATATTTATGTTTATATAAATATATCGAATTCCTTGAGCATTATGTTACACCTAATCAGTTCGATTTGTTGTAAATATTTCTCATTTCAATGATTCTGATACTTTTTCCCATCGATTCTTTGTACTTAACTAGCAGAAAACGAAACATAATATAATGATTACACGACACGATTTGTCCCCTATACATATAAATATATATAGATATAGATATAGTGCTCCATATATCCGATTCATACAGATAAGCACACTACAAAAACAATTAAATTGGGGGAGACAAGCTGGAAACTCGTTCGAAAAAACAATAAAAACTTCAACGTAACGAAAATGAAACAGAAATTGTTCAAAAAACAAAACGGGCATCTAGCGGGATCCTCTCACACCTGAAAGTCACTAAAGTACGTCTCCGTGACGCGTATCTTCTCCATGCGCATATTGAACAGAGCAAAGCCATGCAGAATGTTGAAGGCAATGGCAAAGACCACCAGGGCCGAGTAGGTGCCGAGGGCAATCCACCAGAGGAGATTCTCGTGCAGCTTCTGCTCGAAACTCTTCAGCACCAGCAGCCCGATGGTGAGTCCCGCCACAGCACCCGCCAGATGGGCCACAAACGAGACGGCGGCCACAGTATCGGTGGCATCTGTGACATGCTGAACCTCACTGACGGCGGCACTCGACAGCAGCACATCCTCGCCAGCATAGCGCGCATAGATGGCAAAACCAAAATCAAATGAAACTGCAAAGAGATTTCTCTATAAATTATGATTTTTCCTTGTTTATGGCTTTTATGTCTTACCAAAAACCAATATATGCAGCAGTCGTATCACTCCATAACGCATTTGGTGATAGTTGAGCAGCACATTGGCCAGATGGGCGGCCAAGAGAGCGTAGACACCGCCACTGGCGCCCACCAGAAACACCTCCGGATCGAAGATGCTGGTGCCCAGCGAGCCGGCCAGCACGCCCGAGAAGTAAATGCAGGCGATCCTCGTCGAGCCATGGACCATCTCCAGCGGCAGGCCAAACAGCAGCTGCACGGCCACATTGAAGCCCAGATGCAGCCAGCCAGCGTGCAGCACCATGTAGCAGAGAAACCGCCAGATCTCGTGCCGCTTGTCCGGTCTATAGATGAACATTGAATCGGTGGGTATGGGTCCACGTGGCGCAGCCTCTCCCGTGACCATCGTGTGATACACAAAGAAACCCAACTAAGAAGCGAGAGGGAATCAATATATTAAGCTGTGGCAAGCAAAGGGTTACCCACCTCTACGACTGTTACGAGGATAATGAAGAAGGGCGGCGGACAGCAGGTGTAACGATCTGCATAATACTTGCGATCCCGCTCCTCGGGCAGGATCTCCATGGCCACGGCATGCACCATCTTGCGAAAGAGCGGCGGTTCGCTCAGCACCAGCTGAAAGTCGTTCTCAGAGCACACCTCACGATCACGATGATGGACGGCACATTTAAAGCTGCGCGTTCGCTTGCCGCTCATCTGCAAGGGAACAGAAAAGGGGAAGCTTAAAAGGAGTAATCCCAGGAGGCTGTGCGCCAAAATTCAAAGGGGGAGACATACAATTCTATCATTACAACCTGATCCCTGCTAGCATACGGAGCTCCGCCTCTATACTTATAAATTTTCTACAATGAAGCGAAACTATCGAAATCTGAGTTCTGTCGTGCAAAAAAATGCGGAGAATACGGCACGCATCACGGAGCAGACGAGTGGATATGTCGTGTCGGAGACTGGCTCGGATACCCTCATGCAAACCTCCTTTGACAACAGCACGGCCGTTGCGATCGTCAAGCATTTGAATTCGAATTTTGTGAAATTGGCTCAAAGCGCCGTACGGGATTGGGATCCAACCGACAAGCTGTGTTTTCTCCGGGTGGCAACACGCAAATTTGAGTACATGGTGGCGCCCGAAGACTCGTTTATCGTAACAGTGGTATTGTAATTGAATGCGTTGGAGTGGGATGGACATAGTCACACACAGGGAAACATACAATATCAATAATGCAATGAACTGGAAAGGGATGGACATAGTTACACGCGGAGACTTCTGGAGAGACTCTCATCTTCGAAGGGGAAGTGAGGACATTTACCGTAACACTTGATGGATTGCGCTGGAATGAGAGAGACATCTCTTTACCTGTTGTTGTTTTTTTTGGCATTTCATCTGAGAGCGTAAATCTTTAACCCCAAAACTAAACGAGCCATAAAATTATGAACAACTCTTTGGATTCACATTTGGCTTACGCGTACTGTGTGTGACTAGCGCAAAACTAAATAGGTTTTATTATGTAATTAAGATGTTAACAAAGATGCGAAACGGGCCACGCAATTAAGTCGGCACATAAAACAACAACAGAAACAAGACGAAAATCTGCAAAAGGCGGAAAATGTGTATTGTGTTTAATTAAAGGCAAGTGGAACTGCCCGGGGGGCGCGGGGTGCAGAGGAATCCAAATGAAGCCTACACGCAATTAAAATGCACGATTACGAAAGGAAAACAAGAAAAAACCGCCACAAATTAAGTTTTCAGAGCCGCAGGCCAACAAAAAATAAAAAGAGAACGCTCACAATATAGTTACATCCGCTATGCGGGGTGGGGGCGAGAGAGTGGGTGTGAGAGCTGGGCAGTGTCACTACTACTTGCGGTTAATCAGCAGTGCTAGTCTGGCAGCTCAGTTTGCTTAATTCTAGTAATTATCAAATTTTATTTAATTGATAAATCACCAGCAAAAGAGAGGGGAGGGGCGGCATGCGGCTACAGTTTACTCTCCAATTCTGTTTGTCTCGCTCACGCACACACGCTCACACACAATATTTGCATAGTAAACAGCACTAGGTGGCAACACAGCCAATATCAATGTGTGGGTGTGTATCCAATTACTGGAAATTGCATGTTGAACTCTATACGAACTTCCAGCAACGTTGCTGAGATCCACTTACGCGGTGAAATCTAGCCAGGCTGGATTTTCTCTGCTTTCTGCTCCAGCTGCTTTCCAATCAATTTGCCATGATGCTTGGCTAATTCAACACAATTTATAATTTAATCACAATTAACACTCAACACTTAACTAATTAATTATTTTGTTGAATGGAAAACGTCCGACACGACATCGTTCCCGCCGGCGTGCGTAAGTTTCTTTTGCAGTCTCCTCTTTGCTCTATATGTCTCTCCCTCTCTCTCTCTTTCTTCTACCCTACTGCCACGTCCACTTGCTGGCTAGTGTTGAATAACTTTCAATTACTGATCAAACCAAAAATATGCAAAAAACAAACAAGCTGGACATTGTCGCGACCTCGAATCTTTGGATCGCCTGGAGTCAACCAAGTAAAAGGAGGGGCCTCGATTCACTAATCACACCACAATCCTGTATGGCAGCCCCAGTTCTTCGGAGGAATTGTGTACTGCGCTCCGATTTACTTCCGATTACATTTCCTCGTATTAAATTGTTACAATTTGCCGCTAACAATATGCCTTACGAATTTGTGTTGTCAACAATGGGAACAGAACACCCAGATGCATTGTGGCCAAGTGACAAATGGGGTTTGGTCTCTTTTCGGTAAGATCAAGCGATCAAAACACACAACACAAATAGGAGAAAAAAAGGGCCAAATGGAGGAGGGTTGGGCTGCCGAAAGAATTGCATTATCGTTTGTTTAGTGACTCCGTGTGCGCACTGCGCACCATGGGATGTCGATGCCCATACCGACGTGGAACAGTGTCCTTGCTGCGGCTGATAATGTCATTACCTGGGCACAGACGACGCAGACGCAAGAGCAAATGAAAGCCAAGCCTGCCTTGCCCTGGTCACCGCATGACGTCACCAGGTATGTGAACGGTGGACGGTGGACTTTCATTTAACTGTGTTAAAACTATATGATTCCATTGCTCCATTCACGTTTGCTCCTTTCCGCAGGGCCTGTGTGTGTTTTTTGTTTTTGTTTTTTGGGTCGCGTCGCAAACATAAAGCGACAAATTGACGCAAAACATTTAACACACGGGCAGGACAGGACCCCGGACATGGTCAAACATGGTCCATTGCCTTCGGTGGAGGTGGAGGAGGATGGGACCAAAAGCAACAACTGCAGCGTTGGCGGCTTCCTCTCTATGAGGCATGGCCCGGCATGGAAAAAATTCCTTTGAATTACGTCCGTTGCAGCAGAACCGCCACCACACCGCACACACATGTGTGTGTGTGTGTGTGTGTGTCAGCTCTTGGCAATGCGCAAAAAGGACATCTCCGCCGGCGGTGGTGCCAGCTCATAGCCTGCATCCGTGTTGGTGGCCAGGCGGCATCGGGCAGCGAAGCGGTGAGGCATTGTATGCCACTCTATTATGCATTTCGTAGCTCCTACTGGCTCCGCCGTGTTGACATTTTTATTCCAAACAGTTGAGCAATATTTATAAACTGAAGTCTGGCAAAAGTGGAATTCAAAAGAGGGAGTTGCAGCCGCCTGGAGAGCAGTGGCAGTCGAAATGGGAGAGCTCCTCCACATTCTTTTGGCGCTCATGTAATCTTCCATTTGATTAACATTTGTTTTTCATCTTGCCTGCAGGCCATGGCCAAGCGGCTAAGCTCATTTCATGGATGCGGATGGATGGGATTTGTTTGTCGGCACAGGCAAAAACAACACCTTGAAGCCCTGCGCAACCACTGACCGGCCAACGGATCATCTAATTGAATGACAATATTATGCCAAGGCCTAATTCAATTTGCATTTAGCTGGAGGGCAGCCGCAACGCAACGCGAAAACAGTTGCTTAAATCTTAAACAAACACAGCAATTACAGCAGAACGGATGCACTTGCTGCCTGGACCTATGCCTGCACCTCTACTGCTGGGGTTTTCGTCTAGCCAAATGACTGCGACGAGGACTCTCCCTGGGACCCTGTAATTAGTTCTGGGATGAAACGAGATGAGAAACGAGAGGATGAGGTATACGCCTCGGCCCTCTGACCTTTGTCGGCCTCATCGGGGGTCCGGTATGTCCGCTAATTATCACATTTTTACTCATTAAATTCACATTTGCCTTCGTTTTTTTTTTTGGCAGGTTGCGCTGCCTAATTACAGGGTAATCAGGCTTTCAGCCGCTTTGGCTTTGGCGCTACCGTTTTGTGGGGGGCCTCAGCTAGATGATGATTGATTAGTGGCATGGCGTGGCATGGCCATTCCCTAAGCTTAAGACTGTAAGAATCTACCTCACATCAGTGGCGTGGATTGACATCTGCCAGTAAAGTGCATGGAAGGGAGCGCGTGCCAGCGGCAGCAACAAAGCAGCAAAAAGAATGGAAAAGGAAAAAGTGCAAACAAGCAGCTGAAAGGCCAAAAGAGAGGAGCACTGAAATGGATATGGAAAACAGCGATAAGCGACAGAAAAAGCAAATCGAAAACTGATTTGGAGCGGAAGTTCGTTTGCACCTTTCCCAGCAGCAGCAGCAGCGGCAGCAGTTTCCTGTATTTGCGATGTCAAGAACAATAAGAACACACACAACACACAGCGAAAAAGAGGGAGTACGAGTAAAAGTACGCACTGCCAAGACGTTAAGAAATAATCCATGAATCAGTGGAAAATGTTCCATCGGTACGTTCCACCTTGACGTTTTGGCCTTTGACGCCGTCTTTTGTCTTGAGAATTGGAGTGCACACACAGTCACCGCCCGTTGGCTTTTGTATTGCAAAATCAAAAGCTGTACATGCGACTCCATTGCATTGCCATATATAGATTAAGGATATGCTTTGCCTTGCCTTGCCTTGCCTGGCGTATGTGTATGCAAAGGAGCAAGGAGCAGCTGTCGTCTCCTTCTGTATTTGATTTGCGATTTCTGAGGCAAGCGGAAATGGAATGACACGCGAGGCACTCCAGCACAGTCACTCCTCTCACATTGTTTGGCAGCAGATTGGCAAAAATGGAGGCAAACGAACCTAAAAGAGAGCCAAACGAGCGAGTGAGCCGAGGCGAGCGAGGAGGCTTCCTGCCTTCCACTTGAGCCATACGCATTGTTTGACTGCGCTGTTCGAACTAGGACGTACCCGCGCGTACCTTTGAAGGGGCGTGCCGCCAAATGGAGGAAGCATATGCCTCGAAATCGGATATTGCTCTAAACAATCCACAAAACACAACAAAAAACACAAACCAAACACATTTCTAGACCCAAAGGCAGACTTTTCCAACCCACTGAGCAGCCGAAATCTGACGATTTCAGCTGCCACTGCCATGGAGTAGGAGTAGGAGTGGAAGAGTAGGTGTAAACCTGAGCAACGCGTGTCCTAGGCTTAGAGAGGAGGATGGCCACAGCTACGACCGTGGACTGATGTCTCATTAGCGTATGGATCGGGTCACAGGTTAATGATGTGCGCACCCCGTGCCTGCGCTTCCGCCTCGGACACAACACAATTATTCGAGGCACTTGAGCGAAGAACGCGGAATGCAACAGCAGAAGCGGCAGCAGCAGTGGCACCTCCGATGTAACTTCTTCTAATTCATTGACCCCTCGGCCAACCTCTGAAGCTGCTCCGCTCGGGGTTTTTCGGTGTTTTTTTATGACGCTGTCGTAAATGTCACAGGTGCGCTGCCCCATTTAAATGTATTTCAACATAATTAGTTCGTTTCGTTTTCTTTGTTGCAGGGGTTGCAAGGTGAGCGAGGAGAACAAATGAAACTTAATTTGATTTCAAACCCCCCCAGGGAAAGTGTGTTGCGGACGATGATTCTCCTCACAGAGCCGATTTCGAACACACACAGACAGACACTTCCAAAAACGAAACGCAAAATTCGATTTCCTGAAAATGTTTTGAAGATAAATTGTCGTCGGTTATGTGGCCGGGGATTACATAAACTCTCGCATTCGCGGACAAACACCTGCAGCCTGGATGGACGCTGCTTGGCGAACGGAAGAACCCAACGGGACGGGACTCACGTGCAAAAATAAAATGCAAAAATGATCATTTCGAGATATGCGAAACGGGACATGAACGCCGCTACGCTACGCCACGCCGCAGGATACCAAACAGTGGAGGAAATGCTGTCTACATGGTCGTTCATCCTCTCCTTTTTTTGGCTTGAATTTCGGGACGATACCAAAAAATATTGCATTGAGAGGCAATGGGCAGGCGTGGATGTGGAGGAGGAGGAGCAGTTGCAGTTGCATGGCCGCCCCAAAAGTTCGGCTCCTGGGGTTTTGGTCCATTTCGGGTGCACGTCGTTATCCTTGCCCCCGGATGCACAACAATCAAAATAAACGGCTGCCAAATTGACCATTGACCAAACAACGTCAGCAGCAAGAGGTGGCCAAAATGAGAGCAGAAATGGCACGATGAAGGAGTAGAGCCCAATGCCCCAATGGAGGAGTAGAGCCCAATGGCCCGATGAAGCAGCAGAAGCAGAGCGGCAAGCACCAATGTCAATAGAGGAGGCGAGAGGACAGCTGAATGCCGAGTGGGGAAGCAAGCGAACTCAATGTCCGATGGAGCAGCAGCAGAAGGACGACAACTCACTGCTGAATGCTGAAGGATGTGTGTGGGAGTGGAAACTCCCACGTCACGCCCACTCCAGCGACAACTCACGGTTCAAGCAGCCATCAAAGTTGTTTTTGGCATCCGCCAAAGAAGAGAATCCAATTGATGGAAACCTCAAAGCGATTAAACGCGCTAGCTGCAGTCGTTTTCTACGGATTATTTCGATTGTTCAAGGACTTAAAGGTGCAGCAGTGAATGGCAGACTACTTTGAGGGATAAGGAATACCCAGGAACATGGCTCATAAGATTTCCTACAATCTAGATCATAATTTTCCCCTATCCAACAGCTCTCATTCATAATTAACCAGAAATGTTTGCCACTCGCGCCCGTCTGCCTCCAACCCCAACCCCAGCACATCGATTTGCGCGATTTTATTGCAGAATAATGAAATCGCCAAGAGATTCCAATTCAATCTACGCGCCGCGTAGGCCATTTATGGATTGGCATTGATTTAATACCGCATCGTCTGCGTCGTCGTAGCGGCCGTCGCCATCTCTCTACGATCGCCTCCAGGTTTTGCTGCCAGGCGTCCCCTGAGCCCAAGGCGCAAGGCATTTTGCACCTACCAAACAGAAGTAGAAGGAGCAGCCAGCAGCCAACAGCGGACTCCAAAGTCCGAATTTGATCTGATTCTAGCCGCCTATCGAAGCTGGAGATCAACAGAAAGGAGCAGCAGCAGACGCCACCGCGGCGGAGGATGGATGGAGCTCCACTCGCGAATGTATATTCAATAAACTCGATCTTCGATGTAGCAGCAGTAGCAGCAGCAGCTGTGCTGACTGCCTGGCTGGCTGACTGTGCATTCCAGCACAGAGGAGAACCACTCTCGACACAACTGTGGACTGTGGCCCCCATTCAAGACAAGCCGCTGGAATTTCTTGGTGCGTGCTCGGCACAGGTTCGGTCTCGGGTTCAGTTCAGGTTCAGGTTCAGCTGGTTAGCTTTGGCGTCTGCCAGCTGCGTCTCCTGATTATGATAATGGGGAGAGACCAGGCCAGGCCAGGCCATTCCGAACCGGGGGCCGGGTATATGATCGAATGATCGAATGCTTGGCAGCTCCGTTGACTTTCTGATTAATGCAAGAATGCTCCTTGGCGGCGTTCTTGCTTTTTGCTGACTGATTCTTTCCGACTGCAATTAAAAGTGTTGTTTACCCTTTAGCCAGGGACGAGGACAAGGACGGAACAAGGCATCAATTAGACGCTGAACAGAGGCCTCAATGAATGTCAAAGTGGAGCAATTACTTTGCTCAAAGGTTTGTAGCTAATTCAATCATTGAAAACCCTTTCCAATACCCATTTCTACTCCTCTTAGAGCATCCGCAAGTCGTTGTGGTAGTGACCAGCACACTCATCAGATTGATTCTTGACCGGCTGCCGGTAGTCTCCTGCTGTGTGTCTGATGCCAGATGCGGCCCCGTCCAGCCAGTCCCGGCAGCGGCAGTCGCCTCGTGCCTACCAGTTGTCATAACGTTCAACACATATCTGCTGCCCCCTCGGTGGCGTCGTCGCCTGCGTCTTCGTCGTCGCCATCACTGTGGTCATCATCGGTGTGGTGCTCAGGGCTCTCTGCGCTGCCATAAAAGGATTTGTCACGTGCGAGCTTTTGTTAAAAATGCAACAATCATCATCATCGGAGGGCAATCTCCATTGCAGCAGCAACAGGAGCAGGAGGAGCAGCGGTGGCTCCCTGCATTATGCATGTCGCATTGCCGGAGCAGACATCGTTCGGAGCATTCCTTCGCTTGAAGGCAGGTCCTGGTCCATATGGCCAACGCCAGTCCCCCCACCATCCACAGCAGATCATTGAAATTTATAATTAAGTGGAAATATGTTGTCTACGAAGTAAAGATTGCAGCAAGGATCTTCAGATTGATGCTAAAGATATGAATGGCACAGACAAAGGGCAGCAGCAGCAACAGCCGAGGAGTGGGTCCCACAATTGGAATAACAAATGCATTAGCAGTGACCAAACAAGGACCTAATAATGTACTCACAGGGGATGTGCATTGTGTAAAGAATGGGCGCACCATGGTACGAGCTCATCCACAATTACCGTTAGACTGAAGCACACACACACACACAGAGAGAGATAGAGAGAGACGAGGCAGAGAACACAAAGATAGAAGGCAAATAAAGACAGTGTCCTGCTGCTGCTGTTGCTGCTGCTCCTGCTGCTGATGGCCATGGCTAATTCATGACTTTGACGACACTTTGGGCAAACAATTGTCTAAAGACGAAGAAGAAGCAAGAGAAACACTCAGGAATTGATTATGCATGGAGTGTGTGTGTCGTTCTGTCTATCTGTCTGTCCTCATGTGTGCATGCCAATCAACTGGAGAATCAATCAAAATGCAATAGTACGTACGATTGCCAATCAAAGCTAAATCCAAAGAAGAAGTCACTCCTGCAGAGGTGGCAAGCAGCTGCAGTCGAGCTTAAAATGGATAGCCAGGACCCACTCGGACTATACACTCTTTTTCGAACAAGGGCAGCCAACCAATGTAAGTAAGAACCACATCAGGACAAACAGCAGGAGCAGCAGCAGAGCCACAGACACACGACGACGACGACCAGGCAAACAATCAAATGTCCAACCAGGCGTGACGCTCGGCCCTGAAGGAGCAGCAGAGCCAGTGGCAGAGGCAGAGCCAAAGCCAGCGTCTATTTGCCGAGCGTACTTTTTGCATTTGCCAAACAAGAGTGTGTGGTGTGCTGTGCTGTGGTACCCTTCCTTTTGCACTCTGTTTGAACAAGAGCCCATACCGAGTGTACCGAGGTCCGAGGCGGTGCACATACTTTGCACCTGTGTTTGCACCTAAATCGAGTTTGAGGCCCAACACACATGGCCGTAAATCGTAGATGGAGGAGGAACACTCACCACATTCACAAAGTCCTGGAACGTTACATAGCCCGGACCAGTGGGCACTTGGGCCTTCTTAGCTCGCTCCAGCAACAGCTCCCGCTTGTTCATAGGCACTTGGGATAGAAACTCCGGCGATGTGAGGGCCGATAGGAATTCTGTGACGCAAATTTCACCAAAACCTTCAGGATCGAACTGGAAATTAAGAAAGAATTTGGTTATGGGTTGATCTAGTAGCGAGGATTGCTTTTAATTACCATATCAAAGAGGAGTTTCCATTTCTGTGGGAGATAAAAGAGATGTTCTAGAATTAGCAGAGGGTTTTTTGGTATAATTCCCATAAAAACTCACATCTCTCAGCAATTCCCTGCGCAGTTCAGCCTCATCAAAGTCAGAGTTTAGGGAGGTGTGTTCCGTATCATAGCCGGCATCATTTGTGCATTGCTTAGATATAAAGTTATTAAATAATTTAAATATTTTTTTTTTATTTATAATTTTATAGGCACTTACATATCTCATTTGTGTATGCGATATGGATCCAATGGAGGCCAGCGAGCCAGCTATGGTGGATATATGCTCGATATCGGCCAGCGTCTCCTGCTGACTACTACCTCCAGCATTATGTTGACTCGTTGGGAGTTCCAGTGCCCGCGAGCTGCCTCGCTCGGAGCCAGGCCACATGCTGCTGCACTACGTTGCTATCCAGGTTTATATTTTGTATTTTTAGTGTATATTTTTTGGTTCTTCTTAAAGTAATGGCAGTGAGTGTAGAAACAGTCTTTTTCTGTGGAAAAATTAAGAAGATATAATAAAATAATTTAAAATGTTTACAAGAAGCTTTTGCCTTGAAAGCTCTTGAGTTTCATGTGGCTTTGAGACGCTGAAAAAATTGCAATCGTTTTGGTCATGCACGTTGAGATGTCGCGCGAGATTTTGTTCAAATTTCCGACTAAGGTTCGAATCCCGCCAGTGTCGAGAGGAATGATTTTCTGTGTAGGGTAGTTTTTGTGGCCTGTGAAAATATTTGTTACAATTTGTCACTCGTTGAAATTGTTGCACTAATTGCGGGCCCAGATAGATAATTCCAATTAATCATAGACTAACTTCGGTAATCAATACCTTAGTCTATTTCATGCCTGGAATACAAATTTCCTTTTGTCTTTTTCTTTCTTTATTTTGGTCTCCTTTATCCCTGTGTGTTTTCATTGCCATGGCAACCGTAATGCACTCTCCTCCCTCCCCTCACTAAACTGTTCATAAGAAGGTTATTGATCTCACAAAAGGCTATTCCGCCAAGGGTCCGGTTCCGGTTGCAGTTTCCTTGTTGATGTTATGCCGCCGCCTTGACCCGCCACTGCGCAGACTCCAGCAAACAATTGTTTTGCATTTTTGTTTTCCACTACGGCAATTGTTGTTTACGATTTATTGAATTGAAAAACTATTTGATTTCCATTGATTGATAGATTGCATCCGTACTGTGACTGAATTTCGCGTAGGTATTGTGAATGGAAACTAGTTTTCCCCTCTCCAAAATGCCGTTGAATGGGTGCAACCATGGCAGGCAAGAGACACATGGCCCTTGTTTTGTTATTATTCGAATTTAATGCAGTTTCTACCGTCTCAAAGTTGTTTTCACTTTAGTTTGTTATTTTTCGTAATATTTATTATGTTTACCTTTGTAGTTCTCCAATTAAAGCACATTTACATCCACTTAACCATAAATAGACGAACCGGGCGGCAAAATCTGACAGAGAGCACTGTCAACTTGATTGCAAAATGAGAGTGACAACTGGCGAGCGTGTGTGGAGAGTGCAGGTGAATGAGAGCATTTGAGGGTTGTTAAATTGTATTTGGGGATGGATGGACAGAGTTCCCACCGCACATGCGCCTTGGCCGTAATTTTCAACCCGTTGGCATTTCGTCATCGAAACCACCCACCCCCGCCATGACGCATCCTCCTTCCAAGCAGACTTTGACTACCGCAATTTATGTGCACACACACAGACGACAATACGAAGGTCTCCCCTTTACAGATGAAGATGTGGTCTCTGCTTCTCATACGAAGGTAAAGTCTCCAATTCACATGTGAAGATCTCTCCAGGTCTCTCCACTTTACGCTCTGCTATAAGGTTTGGGACTTTGGACTCCCGTATTATATGAAAATTGCAAGACACAGGTGTGAGTCACTTACGATTCAAGTTATATATATGTATACGTATGTAAGTGTAATATAAGGTAACTAATGATAACATACAATGTTATAAATATTATTTATGCCAAGGACGAGGGGAAAAAACTAAAAAAAACTGTTACACGCAATTATTTACATTCATTACTTATAGTCTTATATTCTAGGGATCTGTACTACATATAGAAAACATATCATATCTCTATTCCATGCAGAACGGATGCAAATAACGAAAACGGAAAAGTAAGCATCAGAATGAACACAAATCTAGGAACAGAATCAAACAGATATATAAGATATATGCATGTGTGTATGTATATGTTTCATTAAAAATACAGCTTAAAGACAAAGAAGACTCGGATTACAGTTGAAGGATTTTTTGCTTTCTTTAATCTGGAGCTGCCTCATGCTTTTGCCTTTCTTTTGCTATGATATTTTCCTTTTTTCCTTTTTCTCTCTTACGTTTTTCGGTTTTTAACAATATTTACATTCCTCACGATGGGCCTAAAATAATCTTGCTTGCCTTACAACACTTTATATATCAGATATATATATATATATGTTATGTATGTGTATGTATATAGTCTATGTATATATATAGTCTATGAAATTGTATATGTATCGGGTATCGGATATTATGCTGCTTATTTGACATCCTCTTGTTGGGTTCTGCTGCACTCGAATTATACATTAAAAGTGGGCTTGGGGAGGAAGGAAGAATCTCTTGAACAATATAACACTCACTTAACTACGAAATACGAAACAGAGGAGACGAAATCCTATTAAAATTGTACAACAAACTCAAAGCCTAAAGGTAAACCTCCAATCGATCAATCAATCAATTATCTCGATGCATTCTCCTAATAATTAAATATTTAGTCGGAGTTGGAGCCTTGGCTCAGCCCTCGACCATACGCTCTGACCCCGAGCCCGAATCGCACTGCTCAATGACCAAGCGGGCAATGCGCTTAATCTCACTGTAGGGGCTCTCGTGCTCAATCAGCTCGTTCAGTATCTGTATGCCATTCTCCTGCTCCACCAGCTGGCAATATTTCTCCGGATAAACCTGGAACATAGAAGGCGGACTCAGACTGCTGCTATGTGATCTTTGTGGGACTGGGCTCCCCACTAACCTGTGTCAGATTTGCCAATGCCCAGACGGCCCAGTGCTGGCATTGTGGCGTCTCATAGCAGCGCACCAGACTGAGTATGGGCTCAAAGCTGCGATAGTTGATGTTGCGCTCACTTTTGATGTTCCAACGCTGAATGGCGGCCACCATGCGGTCCAGCACATGCTCACGGCTGGGCGATTTGATGGTCCAGGCATCGGCCCCATCGGATGCAATGTGCGCGAGCACACCGGCCGCATTGTAGCTGACCTGGAAGCGCACGTTAGCACGGTTATCATTACCATTGTCTAGTCGCCCTCGTCTCGTATTCGCTCGACCCACCTCGATGCCGTCACTCAAGGAGTCCAGCAGACGGGCGAACACCTCTATGAACTCCTGTGTCATCAGCTGGGGTCGCAGCCATTTCACCTCTGCGACATTGCCCAGCAGTCCCATCATGTTGCGCAGCAGCTCATCACGATCGGGAAAGGTCTGAGCGGGAAAGCAGCAGAGAAAATGTTTAGGAAATGTTTGACATGGCTGTCTGCATGCTCGGCTTACGTGTAAACATTTAAGGAAATACTCCATGCCGCGTCCAATGAGGAATCTCTTACAATTAATAGCAGTCTCATCGGTTACATTCCACATGGTGGACCAGGCCACCTCCATGACATCATCAAAGACGGAGCGTGTGAGTCGATCCTTGATCAGCGTCAGCATGTTCTATATAAAGCAATGATTAATACAGATTTGTCTCGGTCTCTCGGTCTCTGAAGAACTCACACTAACTACACCCATTTCGCCCAGGAAGAGCTTTTGTCGTCCATCCACCTGGCAGGCCAAAGTGTTTAGCAAATATATGGCAATACGCTGTACGAAACCCTCCTGCTCTGTCTTGGACACACCATGCAGCAGTATCTTGATCAGACGTTCATATTCAAACAGCTACAGAAAAGAGGCAGAAAATCAGCAAGGGGTACAGGAGACATCTTCCGATTGAGCTTTACCACATCTGCTGGCATGTGGAACTGTGTCAGTGTCAGATAGCCATTCCGCAGCATTGTGTCGTCCGTGAGATGCATTTCCATGCCATTGAGCAGCGTGCGAATGATGTGATTGCGCAGCAAGGTGCCAAACTTTGAGCGTTCCCTGCCCTTGACAATGTAGAACAATGTGGCACTGCAAGACAGGAGGAAAATGCATTAGTTTCCATTCTTAAAGGCTGCCTTGGGCTTGCTCCTTACCTTCCAGAGATTTGCATATGCTTGAACTTGAGATGCCGATCCATGGCTGAGAGTACAGCATCCAGTGCTGTGTGTATGTCCCTGCAGTTCTCGAAACGAAACAGATGATACAGATCGTTTAGTACCTAAAAGAAAGAGAGAGGAAACGCATCAGCGAACAATTCATCACAAAAGTTTGCCCCCACTCACCCTCGTCAGGAGTACGGGTCTGTCGTGATAGTAACGTGCTGCTGTTAGTATCTGCTGCTCATTGGTATCGCCAGCAACCTCGAGTGCGGGTATATCATGCCGCTTGCACGCCCAATGGGCCGTGTGATAGAGCCCCAGGAACTGCAGCGGCCGTTGGGTGCGTGACGCCAGGCCGGGTATGTCCGTGAGGGCAAAGTGTTGCTGCTCCATTTTGGTATTGGCATTGGCATTCGTGGACTCCTTGGTGGCCACACCGTTGCCCGCTAAATTCGTGCCTGAGATATCCAGGTGTGTCAGATGGCGCAGATTATCCATGAGCATCTCCAGCGTCTGGTCGGGCAGGTCGTACGTGCCATGGCCATTCCCTGAACTGGAGATGGAGATGTCCAGCGTGCACAGGCGTCGCAAGCAGCAGATGGCATGCAGCTGATTGGCAATGGGCCACACATTGAACAGGATCAGTGTGTGGAGGTTCGGCAGCATCACCAATGCCTCCAAACTGAAGTTTGCCAGCACGCAGGAGGTGAGGTCCAGATGTCCCAAATCATGCAAATGGGCAAACTGCAGACGATGATGCATGACCACGCCATTGAGGACGAGTCGCCGCAGATGCGGACACGTGAGCTGAAAGTCCACTGGCTCCTTCTCATTGGGTTCCGCATTCTGCAGCAGATGCGAGCTTATGCCCAGCTCCAAGGAGCGCAAACTGTCCCCATAGTGGGCCAGCAGATGATGCGAATTCACGGTGATCATGTCACAGTACCACATGGACAGGGCAAACAGTTTGTGGCGCATCAGAGTTTCCAAGCCTACAAAGCGAAAGAAAATGGTTTGAGGAAAGGGCTTCCACTTTGTGCCT